AAGATTCCAGAAATAAACAGTACATAAGTTGCCCTGCAAGCCACTATGGGAAGCATGAGGAAACTGCATTCTGTGCTGGCCAGGAGGCGGCTCATCCTCTGATCCCACACATCTGTGCCACAGAGCCTCACAGCTGCTAGCCACTCAGCAGCCCTTGTGGTTATGACACCAACTGCTGCTGCACTGCATGAGAGAGAGAGAAGGAGAGACAGAAAGAGAGAGAGAGAGAGAGAGAGAGAGAGAGAGAGGCCACATTCACTTAACATTTATTGCCATGAGTTGTTATATTTGTTCTATTTTATCATCAGTTATTTTCATTAATCTCTTCCTGTGTCTAATTTAGAAATCAAATTTTACCATAGGAGTGTATGTGTGGGAATAAACATAGCATACACAAACAATTTAGTGCTATCTGTGGTTTCAGGCATCCCCTGAGTGTCTTGGATGCATCCCTGTGGATGGGAGGCTTCTGGAGTGTATCTGCAGGATATCTGTGGGTGTGGATTGCACATGTAGATACAGGCAGCTGAGTATCCTCTTGGTGATGCTGCCTCAAGAATCCTGAGTAAACTCTAACACCAGCAGACCAGAAGTCATCCCTGTCTTCATGAGACCATCATAATTTATTGGAGAAAACAGGAGAATAAGCCCAAAATTGTAGCATATATGTTAAAGATTGCAAGAGAAGGCAATTCAAGTTTCTATGTGTACCCAGAAAATGTACCTTAAGCATAGGAAGCTCCCCCAATTATTTAATGATGAATTCATCTCTAACATGACTAACTGTCATCTAACTCAGACTTTACGGAGTCAAACGAGGAGATATTTTAGATGAGGAGGTCTTTCTTTGAAATCTGCAGAGAAGGAAATTCCATGCACGAGGAGAGCAGAGAAGCAAGAAACTCACCATGGACCTCTGCACCAGGAAACCCCAACATTTTGATGCATCTATGGGGAGGATGTTTCTTGGGATGACAGAAGAGAGGGAATAAAGCTCTGGACAAGTCCGTGGAAACCCGTTCCTAAAGGATTTTATGGCCCATGTGAAGACTTCAGGCTTTATTCTAGGGAAAAGGGAAAAATAGGAGATATTTAAGTAGAAAGTGTCATGGTAAGAACTGTATTTTAGAGAGATGTCTGTCATGGAGCTAATGGGCCAGCAGGTACATCAGTTTTGTCTTGCCAGGGAACAAATTACTTCAAATGTAAATTAAAGCAACAAACACTTATGATGTTAGCTGCTGCATGTGAGGAATCCAGGAGCAGCCAGGGTGGGTGGTTCTGGCTCATGATGTCTTGTGCGTTGCATTCAAGATGTAACTTGGGGCTGAAGTCACCTAAATGTCTGGCTGAGACTGAGGAGACTTCCTCTAAGATGGTGCCCACACCCAGGTGCTGGTGGGAGGACTCGGTTTCCTGTCGCATGAGTCCCACCAAAATAAGCTGCCTCAGTGTTCTCACCACATGACAGCTGGCTTCACCCAGTAAGAGATAGGAGGGGTTGGTGGATGAAAGAAATGATGAGCAAGAAAAGAGGGCAGAAGGAGAAAGAAGAAGAAGAAGAAGAAGGGAAGAGAGGGAGGATGGAGGAGAAAGATTAGCTGTATCTTTTGTGGGAGAATTATCACAGAGTTTCTGGACGTATTTTAACCCCACTGTGGTGGGAGGCAGTTCCAGCTCTACAGGAAGGGGGTGTTTATGGAAAAGGGAAAGCAGAGAGAGAGTCTGAGGGTTACTTATCTCTGTATCAGGAAAAGAGGGTTAATTATGTCTGTGTCGGAGTCACTTTCCAGTCTGTGGCTTGGGCAGTGGATCGTGTGATGACATCATTTGCAAACTGAAGGTTATAGAGGAGAAGCAAATTGGGGTGGTGTATATATGATGTGGGGGAGGTGTTTGTGTGCTCTCAGTAGGGATGTACAGAGGATGATTAATATGTTGGCCCCCAGCCCAGGTAGGATGCTGTAACTGAACCTATGGACCAGGAAACCCTCAGCCTATGGTCAAAAGTTTAACCTTGGGTGGGTAGTGAAAAGAGGACAAGAGGAAAAGAGAAGAAGATGTAGAAAACTCCCAGGGAACATTGACATATTTACTGAGATACCAGCAGAGAAAAGCCTGGGTAGAAAAGGGAATGCAAAAGAACAATCATACAAGAAGGAGGAGGAGGAGGAGGAGGAGGAGGAGGAGGAGGAGGAGGAGAAGAAGAAGAAGAAGAAGAAGAAGGAGGAGGAGGAGGAGGAGGAGGAGGAGGAGGAGGAGGAGGAGGAGGAGGAGAAGGAGAAGGAGAAGAAGAAGAAGAAGAAGAAGAAGAAGAAGAAGAAGAGGAGGAGGAGGAGGAGGAGGAGGAGAAGGAGGAGGAGGAGAAGGAGGAGGAGGAGAAGGAGAAGAAGAAGGAGGAGGATAAGGAGAAGAAGGAGGAGGAGGAGGAGGAGAAGAAGAAGGAGGAGGAGGAGGAGGAGGAGGAGGAGGAGAAGAAGAAGAAGAAGAAAAAGAAGAAGAAGAAGAAATCATTGCTAATATGAGAGAATGTTCGTGGAAAAACATCACCAAGAGTATAAAGTGGCAAAAAGAGGTCAAATGATAGCCAGTATTTCACCATTTCGGTTCAGCAGCGCTGCTTTGATTACTGTAGCTTGGTTTCATTATCCAGAGATGGCAACAAAATCCCATCTCAGGGCTGTTGTGCAGTCAAACATTGTAGATGCCTAGCAGCTCCTAGCACACAGCAGGTGCTCATGTAGATATTGGCTTCCCTTAATGCCCTCACCATATGCAGAAACGCTTCCAACTAGAAGGGAACGAGAATGCTCTCAGTGAGTTGGACAGAGCAGCTTTTATTGTCCCAGGTAACAGGGTGCATTCTGCAGGCAAGGCGCTGCAGGTGGGTGATCATTCCTGGTCCTCCCTGGAGTGGGCTTGGCTGTGGAGGACTCACTCCTCCAGCTCAGCCCCACAATGGCTGTCATCCACACCGTGGAAACCAGCTCCCAGTGAATGCCAAGGTGACGATGACAAGACTGCCACCATGCCCTCAGCATGCACCCTGAGCTGCTGCTGACGAGAGGGCTGGATGTCAGAGCTGTCAACCCAGCCTCTGATTCCCACAGTGAATTTCCAGCAAATGGGGTGTGTGTATATAATTATCAGAGATGTCGATCCTGACATTAAAACAAACTGTCTCCATCCCCCGTCATCTCGAAAGGATGGCAGGTTAGGAGGGAGCTGGGGGAGAGTGGCGGCATGTCAGCAATGATTAGGAAAAGCATACAATTCAGCACACTGGGGAACACACACAGCAGAAAAATGGAGGAGGAATTTAATAGCACAGATTATGTTTTTAATTACTTGAGCAAACGAACTGTTCTTGTGCTTGAGTGGAGTTATTGGAGGAGCCACCCCCGGTGTTCCCAAACTGCCTTTGAGTCACCACCGGGAAGGGGGCTGGTCACAGAGCTGGAGTGCTCCCCAGGCAGCGCGATGGGGCTTGCAAGCTGCATCTTCTCCCAGGGAACCCTTCGCTCCATCCATCTAGATTATGATGAGTGGCAGGTTCAAGGGCACAGATGCCGAGCAGGCCTAACAGGACTCGAAGGCTGCTGTCATCGGTTATTAGCTGTGTGATCTCAGACAAGATGACCATTGTGGGTCAAATTGTATCTACCCTGCATTCATGTGATGAAGCCCAGATCCCCACATCTCAGAACATGACCTTATTCAGAAATGAGTGTGTCACAGATGTAATCGGTTAGGTTAAGATCCCATTGGCAGAGTAGTTCCCTAATCCAGCAAGACTGGGGTCCCTAGTAAAAGGGGAAATTTGGGCACAGGAGGGCGTGCTGTGAAAGTGAAGGCAGAAACTGGCGGTGCTTCTGTTGGACAAGGTGAAAAAGGATTGCGGCAGAGTGCCAGGAGCTAGAGGGGCCTGAGCAGACCTTCCTGAGCACCTTCGGAGGGAGTGTGGCCCTGGCCAACGCTTGATTTTGGGCTCCAAGTTTCAGAACTCTGAAGCAATAGCTTTCTTCTGTCCTAATCCACTCAGTTTGCAGTACTTTGCTAGGACAACTATAGTACATTAATAGCAAAACTCCATTTCTCTGGGTCTCTATTTTCTCATTTTTAAAGATAACAGTGGGACTGGCATGGTGGTACACACTTATAATCCCAGCGCTTTGGGAGGCTGAGGAAGGAGGATAACAAATTCAAGCCCACCATGGGCAACTCAGTGAGACCCCATCTCAAAATAAACAAGGGCTGGGGTGGAGCTCAGTGTAAAGAGCCTGGTTCAATCCCTAGTGCTGGAAAAAACAAATAACAATGGTATGTGCCTGAGTGTAGCTTATATGCAGTTTATATAAAGCACTTTAAATAGTGCCCCGTATAGTGTAAGCTGTCCACATTACCCCTAAAAGCCCCTGCAGTGGGGGAGTCTTTGAATAAGGATCAGGGGAGGAAACCAACTCGCCAGCCTGCTAGTTGGTGGGTGGCGTGCTAGACCTGCTACATACCCGCTCCGTTTGATGCTCACACCCAGAGGGCATTTTACTCCCACTTTATTGACAGGAGAATGGAGGCCCAAAGAGGTGAGATGACATCTTTCCTAAGGTCTCACAGTTCATACATTGCAGATAAAATATTTTGAGCAATGGCATCTGACGTGGCAGGCAGACAGCCTCACCGCCTACTTATTCCTGTCTCCGTGCACATCAGTATGCACAATGACAGCACCTGCGCTTTGAGGGCGGGGACAGCAGGGAGTGACAGTGAAGAATGAGTAGCACAACTGAGGAGAAGCTGCCAGAGCCAGACACAGCTGGGTTCTGGACTCAGCACCACCACCTCCTGGCTTCCTGACCATGGAAAAGACACTTCCCTCTCCTCCAGCCTTAATTTTATCATCTGTGAAATGGGGATGCATACTCCTTGAGAGAGCAAGGTGAAGGCATTTAGTAATGTAGAGGAAGCCCTGCTGCACATCGGATGCTCGGTAAGTTTTCCTCTTTACTGTTCTCGCCAGCAGAGAACACGCACATTATTATGGAGATCCCAGGGCCAGTATTTTGTACACCTGGATGTGAGTGAGTCTCTGCATAATCAATTGGTGGGTCTTTCTGGGCTTCTGTTTCTTCACCTATCAGATGGGGTGACTCCTCACCGGAGGGCTTTAAGGTGGTCACCGTGGAGAGTCCCGCTTAGCTGATGAGTTCTGTCTTCAAAGCCCTTGCTTACACAGAGGTACGAGGTTGGTGATTCCGTAACCAGTCCCTAAGCAGTCACGGTTTCTTTGTATCTCCATGTATCTGTGGCTTGCTCTTATTTCTTTTACTGTGGTTTCCTAACCAACTACCTCAAATCTAGGCTCCATGTGGCTGCTCAGAGGATCTGAGGGCCTGGAATTCCAAGCTGAGCCAGGTGGGAATGGCCTGTCTCTGTTCCTCAGGGGCAGGCGTCGCAGCTGGAACCTGGACGCCTCCCTGTGTGGACCACATCTCCTCGTCGGCGCTGAGCACTGACTGCAGCCAGAGCTCTGGGGCGTGGCTCCCCTTGGTGGCCTCTCAGCCTGCCGAGGTGGATTCCCCGTAGCAACACAGAGGGTCTTCACAAGGGGGCAGACACAGAGAGACGCTGCGGGTGGGAGGCGAGGGCAAGGAGAGGGTGCTCCAGGAAGAGACTGCGCCCACTTATGGTCACACCTCGGGACGCCCACAGCTTCCTTCTACCTTCCTTGCACAACCATTTTTTCTTGGAAAATACAACCTGCCAGGTTCTGACGCAGTTCTTAGGTAAAAATACATCATGAAAGGTCTCTAGAAAAGGCAGTGTCTGGATAGCAACACGCTGAAACCTTGCCTGATTCCATAAAAGAAAAATTTCTCCTAAGACCAAACCCTCCCTGGTCTGTGAGGCCCAAAGGAGCTGCTGAAACACAAACCGATGGCCTGTGGCCTCCCACGGCCCCCAGCAGAGAGAACGGTGTGGAGCCCGCTCTCCGGCTTCTGTCAGCTCAGGGAGCAGGGCCGTGGCAGTCTTACCATTTTAGAGGAGCAGCTTGGCCCCTAGAACACAGCCCCCTCTGCCTGCCAAACCTATGGAGGTTTTGTGCTCTGAACCCAGCTCACCGGGAAGATGGAACACTCAGCCACTTCCTCACCAGTTGAGTGCGACTGATGGCTGCAGCGTGAACCAGGAGGCTATGAGCTGGGGTGGCCGCCTCTGGGGCCAGAGGCGGACTGGGGAAACCTTCTGGAAAATCACCCAGAATCACACAAATCATGTTTCACTGGGGAAAACAGTTATTTCCATCACTCACTTAATAAAAAAAAGATGAGTTGCAGGCCTCCTGTATTCCAGATCTGGAACAGTGTGGGGAGAAAGCCACGGCGAGCCACCGTTCGGCAATTATGATCTGGTACACTGAGCGCTGCTGTAGGGAAGCTGAGGCCTCTGTGACACCCAAGGTGGCACTGCTAAGACTGGGGATCTGGGAAGGCTGCCCAGAGGAGGGGACATCTGGGAGGATCTAAGAAGGAGAGGAGTCAGTAAGCAGAGAGGAGGCAGGAATGGGAATGAGAGGTGTAGGAGGACATCACAGACTCAGGCCCAGAGTTCGGTTGAGGGGATGGCACCCCAGAGCCACAGCCTCCGTCTCCCAGCAGTGGACAGAGTGAAGTTCAACCCCATAGCTGCAAACCTTGCTGGCGGCAGTGACCTCGCCCCTCAATTTACAGGGTGGAGCATCTCTGGGCATCCTGCATGCTGGGCTAGAGACAGTGGGAGGCTCAGGAACCAGAAAGGAATGGGGACACCGTGGGAATGCGGCAGTCGGTAGGTTCGGAAAGAATCCGAAGTTTTCACAAGGCAAACAGAAGAGCTGGAGAGCACAGAAGGAGATGATGGCAGAGACGCAGAGCAGAGGTGGCTGTGACAAAGAGGGTGTGTGCCTGGCTGAGTGTGCCTGTGTGAGCACACATGTGTGTGTGTGTGCACATGCATGTGTGCATGTGTGGTGGGGAATCACTGGATGGGATTCAGGTATGGGCGCGCGCGCGCACACACACACACACACACACACACACACACACACACAGCTTCACACCAGTCATCTCAAAGAGCCAGGGTGGCCTTTAACTCAGCACTCTGTTCTTTTGTAGCCAGGGAGACGACCCCAGATCTCAGGCCAAAGAGAACACAGTTAATATCTCAAGCAAAGGGGCTGGAGGTTTAGCTCAGCGGCATAAGCACCTGCCTTGCAAGCAGGCGGTCATGAGTTCGATCCCCGGTACCGGTAAAAATGAAAAAGACAAAAAAAAATATATCTCAAGCAAAGCAAAGTCAAACAAAACAAAAACAGGGCACAGTACTGTTCTTGTGGCAAAGACCAGGGGACACTTAATGAGGCAGGGACTACGGCCTGGGTGTGTGTGTGTGTGTGTGTGTGTGTGTGTGTGTGTGTGCGTGTGGACTGGACTACACTGCTGGCCCACGTGCAGAGTCCACTGTGTGTTGGCTGGAGAAGACCTCATCTCCACCCCCTGCTCCGAAGTGTGCTCTGTGAGATTAGACTATATCCTGAAGTCTGGGACCTGCCAGATCTGAGAATCACTCGTTTCTGTGACCCTTGAAGTGTTTACCTAGGGATTCCTTTCAGAGAGAATCTACACAGTCAGGACCCTGGCCAGGTCACTCTTCCAGGCCTCCAAGAAGCATCAAAAGAGGAGATTCTGCAACAGCATCCTTATTTCCGTGACCACACCTGAGGGGATAAGGCAGGTCGGTGGTAAGGGAAGTCCAGACAATCTTTTAACCCTGCTTTCCAGGAACCTCTCCTGCATCTTTAGAACAGCCTGTGAGAGCAAGTAACACCACTATCAGACCCCTTTTACAGATGGAAACACTAAGGCACCAAGAGTAAAATCACTTCAGCATGGTTACACATAAGTGGTGAGTGGTAGAGGCCAAGTATGGGCCAGGGAGTCTGAATCTGTAACCTATGCACCTATCCAATGCTCCAATCAACACGGGCTGATAAGGTTGGCCCAAATTGGAATGGAGTATTCCGATCATGCTCTAAGAAAGGAAGAAACATATCACCCATGGTTTCAGAATGGGCAGGACTACCTCAAGGCAGTGCAGAAGTTTGGCTGTCAGAGTAGGAAACAGGGCACACAAAGGCCCTGTGGCAAGTAAAGATGGACTGAGGGGTTTGATGTGGCTTGAGAACAGGGTGTGAGGGAGAACATCAGAGGCCCAACTCCAAAGGACAATACTTGGGTGGCATTTTGAAGTCTTTTTGTGACTTTCTCACATATTCATCAAAGACCCAAAGACTCCATAGAAGGCAGCCATGGTTAGGCTGTTTTGCTGAAGGAAGGCAATGTGGTTCCACGGTTCAAAAGGCTGGAGAATCACTTTACTGTGTTTGAGTTCCAGGTGTGTGTCTCCTAGCTGTGCATCTCTGGGTAAATTATGTCACTTCTCTGGGCTTTGTTTTCCGCATCTGTAAAATGGGGATAATGGTCACAAGAATCTATAACTCAGTATTGTGGAGAGAAGCAAATGACGTAATTTCAACAATCTCCCATTGTTGACATAATTTGCTTTGTATCTCCCATTGTTGAAGTATCTGGAATGCAGGCTACATTGACACCTGCAAATGAAGAAATGTGGGCACACGGTAAATCTGAATTAACATTCACTCCTGCTTTGCTGCTGTTGAAGGAGGCTCTGCCACCGGCATGGTGGCATGGGCCTTGGGCGGCCAGAGGGTGGGGATTCGGGACTACAGCAGGAGTCCGAGCCAGCAGTGATGAATCCTGGTTTATACGCGACACTGTGGGAACAAAATATGAGGGCAGATCTGAGGAAGAACTGGCGAGCATTATTTACATAAGGCATTCAAATAAGCTCCCTCGTATGGGAAGGTTCTGTGAACTGTACACATTTGATTATGGTTACAATTAGGACTATCTTAATCAGCTTTATTTAGTGGAACCTGTCAGGCTCAAATCTCTAGAGAGAAGATGCCATTTAATTCTCTCAGATCAAATATTTAACAAACACAGCACTGAATAAAGCTGGCCCTGATTATTTAGCATCTAGTCTGTATTTTAGTTGCTGAGTGGAACTCCGGAGATTTACCATTTTGGCAAACATGCGTCTCTGTGTACGACTGCTTATCTGTAACGGGGACTGAACACACATTATCCTGGCTGAGAATGGAGCACATGGAGCCCAGGCCTCTGGGTTTGAATCTCTTGGGCAAATACTCAGCCTCTCTGTGTGTCCTCATTGGCCAAATCAATAGCTTAGTGTGAGGGTAGGAGAGAAGCTGCCTGTAAACACATTATCATCACCATCACCATCAGTATCACCACGAGCACCGTCACTATCATCACCATCACTATCTCCTCCATCACCATCACCATCTCCACAATCATCATCGTCACTGTCATCACCATCATCATCATCACTGTCATTAAATCCTATGGACTATAGAATCATGACCCCCACTAGACACTCTGGGGCAAGAATGATTTAGAGACAGAGCCACACTTTCAACCACTGTAGATTGGAGACCGAGGCTCAGAGAGGAGACACCACTTGCCCAAGGTCTAAGCCTGTTTATGTGTCTGCATTCCCAACCAGGGAGTGAGACATCATATCACCTACAGGTCCAGTTTCAGAAGTACCCAAAATAAGTGCTAAATGACCATTTCTTCATGAAGAAGTGAATAGATGAGTGAATGAATGAATTTAGTAATTCTAAAGATGTAATCTAACAACTCCTGACAGTCCCTAAGAGCCAGAAAAACATCCAGAAAGCTCTGCATGTCCTTCCTCCTCTGTGTACCTGTGTAAAGTCAGATTTTCTTTACAGACTTTACCCAAACAACATTGCAACAGACTGAGTGCAGGAGGCAGGAAAATCAAAGACTTTCCTAGGTCTAAGAGGGCTGCAAAAATGCAAATCAGTTCCTTCTTCTCGGTATATTTTTGCTTTGCAAATACCGAGTGATTATTCCCCACAATATGTTACTTGGTTCATTTGTAATGGTTTTATTATTGTTATTTGTAAATTAAAATACACTTTTTAAAATCATTCTTCTTGCTTCAATTTCTAAGATGGTACCTTTTATTGAGAGAAGCTGTCTGGGGTCTTCCATCCATTACCAGCGCAAACGGTGCTGAGACTAGCAAGCAGGAGAGCCTGGGCTTTAGAGACAGGGAGCACACAGGCGCAGGGACACTTGGACAGCTCCAGGCTGAGGCTGCCCAGGGTTCCTGCACCTGGCTCTACTGGCCGCGGCCCTTGCGACCCCCGCCAAGGCCCTGAAGAATCAGGAGGGAGCCTGACACCCCTCATCAGCAGCTCCAAACCACTACAGCCTGCTCCCCACCCAGAAGCCGTGGGCTCACCCTCCCAGCCCTGGGCCACTTTCTCGGTGCTCAATCCAGCCCGTGTCAGCACCAGTGCTTGGCTAGGGGCCACTCGCCTGTCTGCTCTGGGAGTTGCTTTAATGCCTCTTTACTTTGGCCCCAAAGAGCAGCATGCCGGTAATTCAGGCAGCCTGTGTCCCAAAGTGCCCCGCAGAGAGGGCATGCACAGTTATCGTGCAGCAGACTGAAGCTGACCCTCATCCTAACGGTACCCTTCTGTGGGACAGCAGCAGGAAGAAAAACATTCAGAGTGTGTAACCAGGGGCGGTGCATTGTGTGCAGACGTCTTCCTGTGTGAGGAACCACACGGGCTTCAGCATAGTCCCTGCATGCTCTGCACACTCGCTCTGTAACCTTCTGCAGCTCTCCCAGCCTCTCAGTGTCTACATCTGTGCAATGGGTACAGTTCTCACGCTGATTCTTGGAGGACTGTGATGAGAACCGGGAGGTGGGGTGGGGAATCTGGCTGCAGGGAGCTCGGCAGACTGGCCGAGTCAGAGTCAGAATTGCTATTCAATTCTTGATTCCATCGCAGAGAAGCAACTGTCACTGCTATTTAACTAAATCTTCCCATCGCCCCAGAGAGCACAGAGAATTCAAGGCTCAGAGATGTGACCTTAGCATCCAAGGTCACTCAGCCGTGTGCAGTCCATGGGTGGCTGTCACTGCAGTGGAAAGCGCTGACTCCAGCAGCTGAGAACGAACTGCTTGGCCGTTTTGCCTGCTTCCTCTGAGATCGCATTTTTTTTCACATTGAGGCAAATGGCTACTATTTATTTGATAGGGAACCAGAAGAACAAAGACATAAGGGATGCAGGATTGGTGTAATCATTGTCTCCACATCTCACCTTGTTTTGCTGTCCCTGGCACGGGGGAGGAGACTGGTGGACAGACTTTCCCACTGGAGCAGCAGGCCTACGGCAACCAGCTGTAAAATGATCCGAAGGTCTTTCAAATCATTATTTTTTTCTATGAAAGATAGCAATTGTACGAACCAGGATTTGGGGAGAAAAAGCCCTATTTTGCTTTGCACTGAATGAAGGGTAATATTATGAGAACCAGGTGCGGACTGAGAGGGAGGGGGAGCCTGAGAAATGGGTTCTGGGGCGGACAATGGAATGAACAGTTCCAAAATCAAGCTGTTGAATTAAGGAATCAGGGAAAAGGCCCAATTATAGTATCAAGTGGAGGGAACAAAGACACTCAAGACTTACCTGAAAAGGAGCGAGGGTGGGGGAATCTGACACCTTCCCCACCGAGGGCTGCTACCCACCAGGAGAGAAAGAGCTGCCTCATCCATCGCCTGGATATCACCTGGTGCTTCAGGGAAATGCTGTCTGATGGGGAGAGAGAGACAGAGAGAGACAGAGGGAGAGAGAGAGAGAGAGAGACAGACAGACAGACAGAGACAGAGACAGACAGAGAGACAGAGAGGGAGAGACAGAGACAGAGACAGACAGAGAGACAGGGAGGGAGAGACACAGAGACATGGAGCAAATACCTGGGAGGAGCAAACCAACTCTCTGACCCCCTGGATCCAGGCCCAGTGGAGAGGTAAGTGACTGCTGAGACCCCCTCTGTCCCAAGCTCCCCGCTTGCCACCCACCACAACCCCCCAGAAAAGACAGCACTCAGGCCACCATCCAGGTGGACTCTGTGACATTGCCTGACTGGCTCCCCCTTCCTGGGTATCCCATCAGGTTATAGCCTGGGCTCTGGACTGAGACATGAGCAAATTCCCATCTGTCCCCTATGGAAGGGACATAGTGCACAGACCAGAAGAAGAGCTCAGAGGCCTGAGTCCAAAACCCACTCTCATGCGACTTGCTGTGTGGCTTTTGGACTGATGTCCAACCATTCTGAATCTGTTTTCTCACCCTTCCTGCCTTCCAGGGCTTTTGTGAGACCTAAATGAGACTAAAGTCTGAATAGCCTTCAAAAAGTTAAAAGAAAAAATGCAACAGCTAATATACTGGAAAGTAAGAATCCCCCATTTGTGGGTGTCAGGCCCCCCCTTGTTGATAACCTGACTGACTGCCTCTCCTCTTACCCCTGGGAAGTGAGTCTGCTCCAGATAAAGGATCATTGTGTTTTCAGACTGAGGAGAGGAAAATACTCCAAGAATTGATGTGTTACTCCATTGCAGAGGAAAAGGCCTTCCAGTGGGCCATGAAACTCCACGGGGAGAAGAATGGTAATGAAGATACAATGCGATGATGATAATGAAACAGGAAACACAAAGCCATTCGGATCAACTAGCATAATGAACGGCAGGCAGCAGCGCCCTGGGCTTGTCCTGCTCCTTCCTTAGAGGCCTCTGTCTTCACAGGGATCCTGCTTTGATTTTGGCTTTGCATGCTGGGGATGGAGCTTGGGGCCTCCTCGTGCTGTGCCAGCACTCACCATTGTGCTACACTCCCAGCCCTGAGGACCGGGCTTATCCAGGGTTCCCTGGTATTTACAGGGTGCTCCCCACCCCAGGTCTTCAGAAGCCAGCCCAGAGAAGTTGCCACCTGCAGGAAACTCACCGCCACCAGTGACCCCAGGCGAGAGCCCAGCACACTCCCTCTCAGCCCAGGGCTGCAGCTGGGCGATTGCTTCCTAAGTCAAAGGGTTGGCAGCAGGTGGGCTCCTCTGGGCATCTGCTTCCACATAGCCTGGAGTGTGTCAGACAGACACAGAAATTGAATTACTTCAGGAGCAAGAATCATCCTGCAGAAATGGCTGAGTCACAATGAGCCAAGGCACAGGAGTCCCAGCAGAGAAGCCTGTGAGCCAAGCACAGGGCCTTGCTGTGGGCCCCCGTCTCCTTTGTTATGATCCTGGGAATGAAACTCAGGGTCTTTGTACTGAGCTATAGCCCCAGAACTTCTGTTATTTTTATTCTGCTTGCTAAGTCACTAAGTTGCTTAGGATGGGTTTGAATTTGCAGTCCTCCTGCCTCAGCCTTCCAGAGTGCTGGGATTACAGGCACGTGCCACCATGCCCAGCTTTGCTATCCTTTTGCATTTCATGGAACCTGATAAAAAAAAATAAGTGTGTATACCAGGCATGACCCATTGGCTCCATGACTGAGAGCCTCTGAGCTCTCATAATTTGACCAGGGAAACATTCTTTATGTGTTGGGGTTGGGTTTAAACTAGATTACAGATCTTCTTATTTCTTGATCTCAGAGCAAGGACACTAAAATATCATGGGAGATGTGCTGCTCTGACTATCCCATGGTGCCATGCAGTTTCTCACCCAGAAACCTCTCTCCATGTGACAACAGGTGTTTTGCTTTGTCTTCATCCAAACAGACTTAGCCAGAATCCCATCACTTCTCTCTCCACCTTTTTCTGTTGGTGTCAGAAACCAGAGAGGACCTTGACAATCTGACATCAAAGTCAAATCACTACCAGCCCAGGCAGCTGGGAGGGTTATGACAGGCAGCTGGCTATGAGACATTGGGGACCACGGGAGTCTGGGTGCCTTAGTTTCCTGGGACACAGCACCTGACCCTCATGACTTAAAGGAGGAGAGATCCAATTCAACTCACAGTTCAGGAGATTCAGTCCACGGCTCTGAGGCAGCAGCATCATGGTGGAAGGGTGTGCCACAGGAAAGCTGATTAGTTCCGCCAGAGCGGAAGGGTGAGGGACTGCACGTGGTACCCAAGGCCTGGACCATATAACAAGACTTTGTCTCAAAAATAAAAGAGGAAAAGGAAAGGACAATTAGACAGATCTGAAACGGAACTCTTGTTTGGCATAATTACCAACGTGACTTTGAACCAGGGCTTGAACCTTTCTAAATCTCGATTTTCTTTTCTGTAAAATGTAGATAAAATCTCTATCTTGTCGTTTGTTACTGAGGGTTGTCAGTAACATGTGTAGCAGCTTAATGTATGTGAAATCTTAATAAGTGGCAGCCACCATCATCTAAGGGATGCCTTCCAAATTTCTGTTTAGTAACAAGATTCCTTTGCCAATTAAATTACACCTGGACTTTGATATGGAAAACAGAGCAAATGAGAGACACCAGGCAATTCCAGTTTCCCAGGGTCAATTTGCAAGATGTGAAGACTGAGCTCTTGTTGGAGTGAGGCTTGCCACAGAACACACAGTGAGCCCTCAAAAGAATTGGGATGTGGACCCAGGACCCTGGGCTTCTTGGCTAGAGATACAGCAAAGTAAAGTTTAAAGCAACGGCTTTCAGATCTCTTGGCCTGGTTTCTATACTAGATCCATTCCTATTGTCCATGTATCTGTGAGTCAGTCATCTACCCCCTGCAAACCTGTTTACCCCTCTGTAAAAAATGGAGACCATGATTAACTTACAGAGCTGAAGTTAATATACATGAAAGCACCAAACAGGATACTTGGCACATAGCTGGCCACATACCAAGCATTAATGATAAAAATAACTGCAATTGTGATAGCGATGCCTTGAGCCTATGCAGAAATTCATATTGTATCAACAGCTTTGATAGTCATTTTAGTCTCACAACCATCAACTAGTCAGCAATTATTCCTCTCATTATATAACCAAGATGGAGGAGCAGGAGGAGGAGGAAAAGAAAAAGGAGGAAGAGATGTAGTCCTCTGCCCAAAATCATATAACTAATAGGGTGGTAGAGGTAAAATTGAATTTATATTCTGGCCAGGGGTTACCAACCTAACCCTTTACCCTATTTTTAAAAGCCACATTCTTATCTATTTGGATTGATAAACTTTTTACAAAAACATTGGATCAAAAATGACTGATACATGACATATGTACGAATACTGTTCACTTCCACGAGTATAACAGACATCATAATCGATCCCCACAGCAGATCCTTACAGATCACAAATGGCTGGTCCTCAACATAGGAGCTGCCACCCGACTTGCAGGCTGATACAGACATTGCCAATCAATCCCTACAGACCTTCCCACTGAACTTTCCTTGAACAAGGCTCTAGGAAACCATTTACAATAGACTGTGGTTGGGCTCAAGAGCAACAGCTTTGCCTCATCCCTAAATTTCTGTCTTGTGGGCTCAGGGACCTAAAGCCCTATTTCTTGGTGAGTATAGAGGGCTCTGAGTGGTTTGGGTCACTGAGACATCTTCCCTTGTCCTCTGGCTCTCTGCCAGAGAAAAGGAACAGCTATTGCAGAAAAATCTATTTGTGCTTTGAAATAATCCTTTATCTGAAAGCTGAATCACATAATTAGCAGTCTTTCCCAGGGAGACCTAATACTGCTACCTATTTTAGTGGCTATTGTCCATCCCTCTCCATCCTACCTCCACCCCCAACTATTTAACTTCCTGCCGGCTGCCTGTGTCTGGCAGCTTCCAGACACCTGAATTAGCCGCTGATGAAAGCATTTGTCCCAGACTGGCCCCAAGGAGATCTATGCCTTTCTAGGTCAGGAGAGGGACTCAAGGGGTTCTGCATGAGAACAGAACTGCTAAGGTCCCCTCCAGTACCTGACCCTTGGTTTACAGGCACCTGGGTTGGGAGAAGCCAGCCGGTATCTTAGCCACTATCTCCTCCTTCCTTGCTAATCACAGCCTTTGTTTACTTTTGTCCTGTGCTCTGATGAGAAGGGTAGCTACAATGACACAGAACAAATGTTACTGGCACCTCAGGACCAAAATGTACACAGCTCACTTCACAGTGATGGGGATGCTGCCTGGAGGAAAGGTCTGCAGGGTTTCAGTGAGTCACAGACATCCCCGCGTCCCTCAAAGTGTTCAGGGGTGAGAGAGACAGGGACAGGGACAGGGACAGGGACAGGGACAGGGACAGGGAGAGGCAAGTCAATGTCCTCTGGCATCGTTACTCCTTTGTAGTCTACTCTTATATTCTCTTCCTTCTAAATCCTTTGCAAACTCTCAACCCAGGTTAAGTATAAGTACAGGTTTTCTTCATGCCTGTGGCTGCAGCAGAAAAACAAACAAACAAACAAACAAACACCCAGCAAAGCCGCCTAGTGTTGCTTTGCATCCCTATGGCACTCACCCCTCTGATGACTATGTGCAGTCAGCTTCCAAGCAGTCAGACAACTTTCCGCCTCCTGCTTGTCCTCCTAAATTTTGCTGAATCACTCCCTCCCTCCTCCCTGAGCAGACAGAGAAGGTTGCCCCAGGCTGTGTCACTTTCTGCCACCTGCAGCCCTGCAGTTTCCCCTGGATGCCAGCCACCTGCCCTCCCTGGTCCTCTCTGGCCCACCCACACTGCAACCCCTTTATCAGCGCCTCCACTGGGCCAGACCACGCACACGGCTTGAGCATGCGGCCCCCTCTCCCCCAATCAGCAGCTTTTTCTCTCTCTCCTGCATCATCCACCAGCAGGGCACTTGTTGCTGCAGCTTCCTTCTTAGAACAGAACAAACGAATATAAAAACTTCCCTTGACCCAGGCCCAACTCTCGCCACCATCTGTTCCCTCCAGAAAAAGAAAAGGGCCATTGGAAAGAGTTTCTCGAGTTGTTCCTCTGCCGCTCTCCATCGAGCTCTCTGCACTCAAGCTGCCCTGAGACATTGCCAGATCAGCGCAGCTATCCCTGGTGCCGCGTCACATGGATTGTCCCTCGGGCTCATGTCGCCGAGACTGGTAGCAGGCTTTGTTACTGTTGATAGCTCCGTTTCCCCAGAAGTGCTGGCTCCACCTGAAGGCAGAGACAAGCGTGCTGGAGGTCTCCTCCCTCCCTGGTGGCACCCTCTGCATCTCCTTCCTGGCTTCCCTCACTGCCTGCTGCACCCAGGGTCCAGGGAGCTTCCCTCCCTCCAGCTCCACTCACTCCAGGGTCTCCCGTCTCCCAGCAGAACCACAAGCTCAACTCTGACAGCTTCCTCGCAAATACGCACCGCTACCTCATTTCCCCCATATGCCCCACACTCCCGACCCCGGGCCCGCTCAGCATCTTCTACCTGGATGTCGCAGTGCATCCTACCTGAGGCACCCATATCTGCGCCTCTCATGTCTCACGTGGCAGCTCCATCCCTGAGGCTGCTCAAAGCCCCTGTTCTTTCTTCTCTTTTCTCACTGCCACATAAGCTGCCAGGAAGACACTTCTGAATAATTTAATGACTTCTTAACACATTCTCTGCTAATATGCTGATCCAGGCTGCTGCTGCATCCCTCCCGGACAAATGTAGTATCCTCCACCTGGTCCCTCCTGTCCCCATCCCTACCCACACTGTCACTCTCTACATAGCAGACGGAAGGGAATGAAATCCTGCCTTGTCCCTTCTCCACTCAAGACTCTCCAGTGCTCTCTCATCTCTCCCAAAGTCCGAGTCTCACTCTTACCACCACACGGAGAGCTCATGTGCTCGGGCCACTGCTGCCTGGCTCCTCCCTGGTCATCCTGCCTTGCACAGGCCTCCGTGCAAATCCCTGAACATATCAGCTCTGGCTGTGCTGCAGGCCTTTGAGCCTGCACTTTCCCTTCCCTGGAATGTTCTTTCCCTGAACATCTGTACTCTTCCTTCTCCTTTCTGCTGAGCTCTTCTCAAATCCCACCTTACAAGAGACACAAGAGGCAGAGCTGGTGGGGAATATCCCACTCCCTCGCCCATGGCAGGCACAGCTGAGTATGGTCTTCAAGCAGCATTGAACGCCAGGTGCCTGCGGCAAAGCCCCTCGGTATCATGACCTTCATGGGCTTTATTCCCTTCCGTGCTCACTGGCCCACTCCCACTCTTAAATGAAAGACCTCCACTTGAACTTTTCACTGGAGGTCATCTTTTATGGGAAATTAGGCCAGGTCATACAGTTTTACTAAGTGCACATATGCAACATTATACACATTTATCAATTTGTTTTCTTTATCATTTTTTCTTTCTACTACAATGTAAACTCTAAGGAGAACTGGACCAAACTCCTCTGATCATGGCCAGGAGGCATGCAGAAAATGTTTGCTTAGTGGAGGAGTGTTGTTTATTCACTAACCTAACAAATAATTACTGGATGACTGTCTTATTGTAGGGGATTCTCTTAGATGCTGGGAATATAGTAGTGATCAAAATGGGCCACATGCCTCTTCATGAAGAGCTCATGTTATGAGTCAGTAGATGGACATAAGGATGGATGGATGAGTATATGAATGGATGGATGGATGGATGGATGGATGCATAGCTGGGTGGATGAATGAACATAAGAAGGAATAGGTGGATGGGAAGTGAATGGGAAAGATGGAGACAGGGACAAATGGAACTCTCTAGAACCTCAGAATGCCCAGTATTTGGATGTTCCATCCTGCAGTTGAAGGTGTCATACCTGTTCCAGAATTTCTTACAAACCAACCCTCATGACCTATGCATGCTTTTCTGCCCCATTACCTCTGCCTCTTAACCATATCCTTGTCAAATTAGTCATTCACAGAAATGTCTGCTTTGCTGTTCACCTCCGACCCTGCCGAGTCTGCCTGCTTCCTGCCCCTTCAGACTCAACTTCACACCTTCCAAAGGCCTCCCTGCCCACTCCACTACGAAGCCACCTTTCTTCAGGTCTAGAGCTCTAATAAAAGCAGTTTTGCCCACACTGTGCACGTGTGGTAGGAGCTTGTCCTCCTCTGCTCACTTGAGTGGGAAATTCAACTTTCCTGTTGACAGAAGAGAACGAGGCAGGGTGGGGAGTACTCACACTTTTCAGATGAGGCTGAGGGTGAGTCCTGACGCTTCCTGTCGGTGTCACCGTGGCAACTGACTTGATCTCTGAGGGACTCAGTTTACTCCCCCGTCAAATAGGAATGGAAATAGTCTCTATCTCGGAATTATGAATCAAATGAAATTGTAAGTATAAAATACCTGGATTTTTATTTAAATCCTGGTTCCATCCCTCTTTTACCGTGTGGCATTATGATCCTCCATCTTTGTTCTAAGTAAGTTAGAATGAAGGCTTATTTGAGTTTTTCCCAAAGAATTGTCTATCCTTAGCTTTTATGTTCTGGTCCAGAATCCCCTAAAATAGAATTTGCCTGCACACTCATGACCCCCTATTTGTATAGCTATAAAATGGAATAAGAGTCAGTATTTTATAAGGTTGTTTGAGGATTATAAGAAACCATGTAAATAAAATACTTGGCCCAGAAGCTGGGGCGCAGCAGGTGCTTAATAAATTTCCATCATTATTATTTTTATAAAGCTTTGGATCTCAAAGGTCACAGCAGAATAATAGCCACCAAGCATTCTGGGAAAATCTGTGGAACATCAGGCCACTTCGGTGAAATGTAATGTCCTTGCTGTTACAGTCCTACCTGGAGAGGTTGCATTTCTGGAGCTCGGAATCTCCTGTTCCTTGCTGCATGTTTTGCTTCTTAACTGGCACTTGAGAAGCAAGCCAAGCTTTTTCAACGAAGAAAGCAGCTGCTGAAGAGCCTGGGGTAAAATATGAAAGCCTTCTTCCTCACACTCATCCTGCTGGCAGTCTTAAAGAGGGCAGCTCAGTGATCTTTTATCTTCATCTGCAGATGAATGTAAAACACACTGCTTGGGGGATGATGGATGGGGGTGGCTGCTGAGCAGATCAGTCTTCTCCAAAAGGTTGAAGATCACTTTGTGAAGACAAATACATCATCCAGAATTCCACAGCAAAGCTAGATTTCAGTTAGGAGCAGGGGGACAGGGTGTTGGTCCTTTTCAACAATTAGTCCTACATAAATCTTTAAAATTTTTATTGAAAATATTCCATGCATACAAAATAATGAAAATCTACATACCATGAAAGACTAATAGAAGCATGAGCATCTGTGCATTCACCAGTCAGCTTATGAGATAGCACATTAGTAATCATTTAGAAGTTTCTATGAGAAACCACTACTCTGAAGCTTGATTTCATCATTTCCTTGCTTTTCTGTACAATTTTACCATCATGCACATGTTCCTAAATAATGATAATAATGACAACATTAATAACAGCTAGACAAAGGTAATATTAGGTACCAGCACTGATCTAGGACTTACTCTGGACAAGGGAGTCTTTTAAGTACTTAATGCATTAATTCTTTTATTCCTTACAATATCCCTCTGAAGTGGGAAGGGTTGCTGGTCCAACTGAGGCTCAGAGAGGTAAGACAACTTACTTGGATCGACAGCAAGGAGGAGAAGATCTCCACTCATGAACCCATCATTGGCTTCCAAAATTATATGATTAAGCCACTCTGACTCTAACTAGATCAGTTAGTTTGGCTTATTCCTGAAGTTTATACACATGAGCTCATACTCTATGACTTTGTATGAGTATTTCTCTCTTTAAATGCTAAGTTTCTGAGATCCAGCCACATCCACATGTGTGACTGCAGTTGATTAACTTTTTACAGCTATGTAGTATTTTGCTATTCTCTGGATGAAATCCACACTTGATCTCTGAGGTGATTTCAATGAGCAGGATATGCTTTTCCTGGTCTTATAGATGAAGAGATAAAGAGAGAGTGAGAAAGAATCTTTCCTAGGTCATAGTCAGCAGATTCATAAAAAGCATGAAGTCACCTGATAGCCAGGTTGTAGCTCTTTCTCTCATTCTATGCTGTGACCTTAGCTATTAAGTACAGCCTTTTAAATGGGAATCTGTGTTGATATTTTTAGTCTTCTTATGAGGAATGGATCCGAAGGTCCCTTCTCTTCCTTCTGGGGAAACCCACATTCATCCTTCATACACATAGTCTGAGTAGCAAGTCCCTTAAACTTTTTGAATTATTTGGTGGATAGCAAAATGAATAAGACAAATCTAGTCATGGATTTGCTCTATGTACAAGAGGAGAATTAAACAATGCCTAAATTTTACAGGAAAGATAACCACAAGGAATCTAGGCGCACAGAGGAGAAAGTAAAACCAGGGGGGAAATGCCAAGCAGGCCACAAAGGCTGGAGAGACGTTGCCCAGTTAGACAACGGGGGGCCTTTCTGGGGGAGGAATAACCCACCCCAGGCCCAAACCTTGAAACAGGAAGGTCCCTGAATGCTCCAAGAGCAGGGAGAAGACTTCGATGGCCTCAGTGTCAATGCAGAGAGCAACAAAAGCCCTGGGAAGGAAAGACTGAAGGCAAGTAGTCCTGGATGCTAGGCTAACGTCATTGAACACTGCATTAGTCAATTGTGCCAACACTGGAAAAGGGTACCCGACAGCCACACCTTGAAGAAGGAAAGGTATATTTGGTTCAGTCCAGGATTGGTTGACTTCAGTGTAGAAGCGACATGATGGAAAAACTGCTTTACCTGTGGTTGCAAAGAGAAAAGAGGGGCAGGGCACAAAAAAACACTCTTTTGGTCACACTCCAAGTGACCCATCTCCTCCAACCAGACCCCACCTTCTAGTAACACATGAACCATCAAAGGATTAATCCATTCATGAATGTTGTGTGCCTATGACCCAATCACCTTACAAACACAATAGATTGGGGAGGGCATTCTAGATCTAAATCATAACATTCCATGCCCTATGGGAGTGGTTGTCACTGAGAGTTTGCAGGCATGAAGGTGACATGATGAGACAGCAGCTTCAGAACAAGCTCTCTGTGCCCAGTGGGGAGGTTGGCATTGGAGAATAGTGATTGGCTCTTTCTTTAAAGAGTGGGGTGAGGGGTTTAGCTCAGCTGCACAAGCACATACCTGGCAAGTGCAAGGTCATAGTTCAATCCCCCGTACAAAAAAAAAAACAAAAAGAAAGAAAAAAAGTTGAAGCCTAAGATCCCATTCTGGGCAATGCTAAGGATTCAAAAGGAATCTCAAAGTCTGTGTTCATAAACCTATTTTTTCTTTCACAGTATTAACTATCCATTATGTGTTTGGCACTCAAACACTGTGCTGGG